TTTTGTTTGGCAATGCTAAACTACAAGACATCGCCAATGTTACCTCTCGATATACAGCCTGCAATGTCCATATCATACCCAGTACTTCCATTAATGCCAAGATGTTCAATGAAATCTTTAAACACATACCAAAATGGACATTATCCTATTCTCTTTCCAGTAACTACATGTAATGATACAAGGATCGCCGGGCTCAAAATCCAGATACAGACGTGTCAAAATGTCGCGTCAGTTTGCAAAAGTTTAAATGTGCGCAGTACACAATACTATCAGGTCAAAGTCAAGATGTTTCAGGTGCATTTATCGAGTTGGGGAAATGTTGTTTTGCTTGTTGTTGTCACTTCGTTTTTGGCTTATTGTTGCAGATGTTTGTTATATGTGATTGGGCGAATGAAAATAAAATATGTCTATCTCTGTTTTCATTTCATGGCATATCCTGGCGAAAGTTATTACACCATGCAGACGTCCCCAAGATTTTTCTCGCTTTAATCAACTGGAAAATCAGAAGCCGTTTAATTTTGAAAGAATGAATCCAGTCGCGTAGTTATATCTACTTAGTGTCTTTAATTGTTTTATTTTGAAGTTTTCGATTCAATCTCCAAAACCCTCACAAATCATACATATACTGTTACAAATGATACATACACTGTTACAAACGAAGCTAATCTTTCGTCAAAGGTTCACACAAAATAGCAAAATTATCATGAGAAGATGACTCCTGCGTGTGGGAGAAAAAACAGATACAAAGCAACCAATATACTCTTGTGCGCATTTTTCTGAACATCGATCCGTTGATAGTGTAGCGGTTATCATCCGAGCTTCCCAAGCTCGGGACCCGGGTTCGACTCCCGGTCAACGCAGTCCCTGTTTTTTTTCTTTTCTTAGTGTCGAGTTCATTCTTTTTTACCTCGCGCGTTTTTATTTATTTTTCGAGAGCCCTAAAACACCGCCTGTAAATACTTGTTACATCTGCGGAAAGGAATGGAGCTGCCTGTGCTATTTTAAAACCGTGACAAATCGTTTTTACGCCTATGAATGGATTTAAGAAATTCAAAACGTGCCAATCAGCAAAAAGAAACACAAAAACTCAAATAATCGCAGATAGGTGGTAGGTGATGCCAAGATATTCTAAGAACATGTTATTTACCGCCGAAAGAGCATGAGATATTGCACAGCTTCGGCCATATTATATTTAGTCCTGCCTGACAAACAGAAAGTGTAAATAGAAAATATCAAATAATCGTGATCGATCTTTGTACGTTTATATGACAATGTATTAGCTTCAATAGCATCAACAGAAAAAGTAGAAACAAGTGTTTTGCTTCCCCAAACACTCCTTTTACAAACGATATTTCACTTTTCAACAATACCATCATTGATATCCCGCACTGCATCTCGTGACGTTGCAACCACCACTGGTTCATCGGCATCAACACCCCTATACATCCGTCCAATCAATCCAACCTTCAACTCCAAACTACTGGCATAGTAATCATCCTTTGCAGGAAGGTCGTCGTCGTCCATTACAACCAGTGTCATCACCGCTCTTGAAGAATATGTCACAATCCAGACGCTTTCATCAGGGAAATACTTGTCTTGTTGGTAGACTGAGAAATCTCCAAGAT